GCAAACAACGGTTTAAGATGATTAAGTGCTTTCGCAGCCGCAGTTGTGTGGGCAGCGTTCTCAGTTCTCAGTTCTCGGCTTTCCGGACCCTCAGGGCTTGTTTTTCGAGGTTTGGAGGGTTTCGAGGCTTGCCTGCGATGGCCGTGCAAAGTTTCATTTTCTAAAAACCCATCGCCCCCACACACATACACACACTTACACAGACACACACACATACAAAGGCTGCGCCAAAAATGCTGCAACAAAATCTGGCATTTTCCCGGTTTGCTCTTGTTTCCTTTCGGGCGAAAGAAATTTAATTTCCATATGTTTTGTGTGCTGTGGCAGCTGCTGCAGGTTTCTGCTGATGTGCAAGTTTTTAAAGTAACCCAATCGCCCCGAAACTGCCATCCATCGTTATCCCTTTTCGCCTCGTGGTGTTTGCCATTTTTGCTGACTCTCCTCGTTGTCCGCTGATTTGTTTATATTTGCTTTGCATCTTGGCCAAGCTGAAAAGAGAGTGTGTCAAGTTCCGAGCTTGTCTGTTAACCCATTTGAGATGTCCTGCCACCTCCGCCTCCGCCTCCACCACCTCCTTCTCCTCCTTCTTTCAATTTACAACAGGAACTGCAGGACTTTGCTTTCTCCGTTGTTTGTGTGTCAAAAAGATTAAGTATACGTCAAGTGGTACGCGGCATTGGCTTTTCCAATTAGCTAGCTGCCTGAAAATCCAGCAGAATTAGCCAGAAGAAGTTGCGTGTGGCCCAGCTACACTTCATTTAATTTGGCAGCTTAAAAGTTTTCACTCAGCTGCCACCTTCAGCTAATTGAGTGCTCCAACTTGAAGCCAAGTGAATCGAATCAATTAGTCGGATTTAAGGAGGGCTTTAGACGCCAAAATTTATGGTCTTCGGGAAAAGCGAAGATAGAGCAATAGGTTTTGCCAAGTCTGATCTGTGAATTATGTCCCTATGATATCTCCGCTTCAACAGCAGTCAATGTGGTTGGAATTTTTGCATAATTCAAGTGGAGCCTCGATTGACTTGACCTGTCAATCAGGCCCTATATTGTCTGGTGTATATAGTAGCTTTAGGCCAGAGGCACAGGCACAGGCACAGTAACACAGGCAACTGCAACTCGACACTCCGGCACTTTGGCACTGCGGCACTCACAGTTCGACAGATGGATTTTTGTTGGCTGTCAGTTTGACAGGACATTTCATCATCGGGACGAAGTGGGTCCATCGGGTCCAAAGAGACTGACAATGAGTGCGTCGTCCATCCAGTTGTTGGCCCGGTGTAGGTAGTAGTGCACTTTATGCAAATGCGACTATTAATGTGCTCGACCCCTGACCCGAAAGTTACCCCACCCCCTCCCCCGTTCCACGAAACCCCCTGGTAACCCCTTTGGGTTTGAGTGTGTTTGCATATCTGGCGCGCAATTAGCTTAATTTGTGCCCCTGCTCGACGGCTGCTCCAGCTCCCAAATGCTCCCAGTTCCCGATCAAAGTTAATCCTTTTCAATATTACCGAAATGGGGGAAAAAGTGGGGAGAAACCGGGAGCAACACAATGATTTTTAGTCGCGCCTATCTGCATGTATAATATTATAAAATTTTCATATTTATTTAGATGCATTTGAATATTTTGCGCATATATATTTTCCCCCTTTTTTATTTTTTTCTTTATACTTTGTCCAGCTGCTGGGGCCGAGAATCTAATGGGTATTTTACATAGCAACCGTTTTGGCGCTTTAATGCAGGCTTTTAGTTTGAATTGGAATTGCCCTGGGATGCCTGATTAGCATCGTTTTAATGTTTAATTAAAGCTCTCGTGGCTACTGCCATAATTTGCCACTTTTCCTCCATTCTTTTGGCCCATTCAAAATCATTTGAATACGGACTTTTTGGCCCACTCCGCTGCCTTTGCTGCTGCTGCTGCTGCTGCTGCATTATGGATTGTTTATGGCGAACGCAGAAAATTTGTAAATAATTTATTTGTGTCCATCGCTAATTGCTGCCAACTTCTTGTTACTGGCCAATGGTTACGGCTCGCAGCTATTTTTGGCAGCAAACAGTGGAATTTCTGGTTTAATTACAAGCCAATTCTCCGGCGCTCGTCGACGGCGCTGCGAATTTTATGCGAATTTATTTAGCCGGGATAAAAATATTTGTAAAACAAACTGCGACGGCCATAAAATAAACACTCACGCAAAAAAGAATGTGGGAAAAACATGCAGCCAACAAACACACTATCCTGCGCTGCTTATTGAAGGCTCGAAGGATCGCAGGGATTGGGGGGCTAGGACCAAAAACCCACACAAAAGCCATCTAAAACCGGAACTCAATTTAGCGACAAAATGCCTAAAATGCAGTTTGAAACTTTTTGGAGGGAGTGCGGAGTGCAACGTAAAATCCCACACATTTTTAAAACAGTGGCCATTGACAAGAATGGCTGAAAAATTAACAAATTAAATTTTGAAATTTTTTCACCTAACAAAATAATTTGAGTATAAAGTAAAGTACAATTAGCAAAAGTTAGTTGTACAGAACATTCTGCTGAAACATTCTAGTTTTAGCTCAAAGCTTAAATTAATTGTTTTGTTAAAAAAGTAAACACCAATTAAAATAATTATCTTTATTATAACCCCTAATTATGGAACGAAATAGCTTTCGATTGGCAATCAAAACAATTGCACTTGTAATAAAGGTTAACACCTTAGAAACTTAAATGTTTTGGCCAAGTTATTGATAAATATTGTGTTACTGGGCGGCCTTCATCAGCTGTTCATTTTATCCACTTACCTCCGTATCAGATATTCGGCTGCATATTTTTGGCCGTATCGAAAATTTTGCCAATTTTGCATATGAAAATTGTACGCGGTTAATAGGCGACATGTGTGCAGAATGTCCTCGAGAGGCGCGGGAATCCCCACACATGCAAATCTGGACATTTACATACACATATATATTCATGCCAATAACTATTTCGAGGTGTGTGTGTTGCGGTTCGTGGGTGTGCGTTTGAGGCCGGCACAAAATTTAATAATAATTCTGCAGTTGGGAAATTGTTTGATAATTTAATTGCTGTCGGCCGATAGTTGAATGGCATTAAACCAAAAAGGGCGAAATTAAAGCGGCTAGCGGACAATGCAAATTGGCCAAGGACCCTTGGCCTAATCAGGCGTCAGCTTGAGAATCCGTCTAATTAGATATTTGCCTGCCACAATGCCTTGTGGAAGAGGCAAGTGCACTCAGAGTCGTCCTGAAGCTGAAGATGTGCTAATAATCATTTTAATGAAACGATGCAGATGCCGGGCATAAAAATCCAGCTGGCATAATGATGAGAAAAGTGGCCAACGGGCGGATGTCTACGGGACTTCGGGCCGTAAAGAAGAAGAAGAAGAAAAAGGCGAGCGAGCCAGCGAGCGAGCGAGCGAGTGGAGTTTACGGTCAGTTGGGGATTGCCCCAACGGCTGCAGAAGAAGGAAAGGCTCCAAGCTGCTTAAGCGCTAAACAAGATGAATCTAATAACGAGCGGGGACTGCGTCGCATCCTTTTTGCCTCGTTCTGGGCGCCGCTTCCCTATTTCGCTGCCAATGTCCGTCAGCTGGCTACCCGGACTTGACCTGCCCCAAAACCGAGTCGCCCGCCGCACTCTTAAGTCCTGCGCTCTTTCTCTTCTCTTCTCCCTTCTCTTCTTTCTTCGCGCGGAGTGCTCTCAGTTCCACCCTCTGCGGCGATGATTGCCGAGCGGATGCACTGCAAAATGCCGGCTAAATTCGAGGCTTCCGTGTGTTTCACCCCCCTCCCCTCATAACTCTCTCCTCTTCCCTTCTTTTTTCTCTGCTCCTGCCAAGTTTTGTATTGTAATCTATACCCGAGCGGCTTATAGCGGGCATAACTTCGGTTAAGGGGCAGCTCCGCCTGGCTTGTAAGCCACATTTTTGCGTACGCTTCCTTTGTTTCGTCTACTGATCTCTGGTTGAAGTAATAAGGGAAATTAGGAGCCGCTAATGGAAGTATTATTCTATGCATACTGGGTATATTTTAACAAGTTTTTAGCTAACCGTCACAAGCTACTAGTGGAGAGATTACTAAAGTCCTCACTAAAGTCTTGCCCATCCACTTCACTTGGTTTTCAGAATAAAATTGTACGACAAATTTGAATAGCATACAAATTAATACTTCTTACAAGGAGCCATTTATCTGCGTATCTATTTACTTTTTTAACAGTTAGTATTTTTAGTATTAGTGTTTTTAATTATGTATGTCTTTGCCTACCCATAAAAATCATTCCCCATCCACCAACACATTTCTGTTTTTAATAATAATACGCATCCTTACACCTTTTTTAATTAAAAACTTGCATTCGATATGCATAAATACTTGACCAATAAATTGTTGTACATAGTAATGATTTTTATTTTGTAAGGTATGATTGGGACTGCCGATTTTCGGCTAGCGAGTATTACCCTAAAAACAGCCACTAAAAATCCGAACAAAAAAAAAATATAAAAACTTCGCTGGCGCCGTTGGCATTCGGTTCCCATCGACTTTTGTTCGGGTCGTTGGCGTTTCGGCTCGGTTCGTTTTGGGTTCGGGGAATCCCTTTTCTGCGAAACGAAGCGTTTTGAAGTCGAGACAGACAGTCGACGTCGCAGCCTCTGCCGCTGCCTCCGCCAACTGCGCTGCCGCCGACTTGTTGCGACGCCAGACGTCAAGTGCGCATCTAACGGCATCGCAGCCCGCGACAGAGAAGGAGAGAGAGGGAAAGAGCGAGCGAGCGAGAGAGAGAACGAGAGGCTGGCGCCTCGTGCAAAAGTTTACTATGCCAATGCACTCGTTGTCTGGTCCCCCGCCCCCTTCGAGTCCGCACGCCCCTCTCTCCAACGCTGCAACGTTGCAGCGCAGTAACGCGACGACAGAACAGCGAACCTCTCTGTCGCACCGCTGCCGCTGCGGAACTGCAGAGAGCTCACGGCAGTTCTCGTTGGGCCAGTCCCCAAAAAGTTGGCATTCAGTCGCCACGCAACGACCGCCAGTCGAGGTTGTCCGGCTCCAGAGCAGCAGAAGAATCCCCAAAGAACCCAAAGAGAACTCTGAAAAGAACCCCCCAAAGAACCCTTTTCCCAGCCAAGTTCTAGACCTTTGGGCCAGCCAAAAAGTGCAGCGACAGTCGAGCCGAGAGCCTCAAGCGATACAGTCGCAAGTGCTCTGTAACCAAAAAAAAAAAAAAAAAAAAATAAATGATTATCCAAACTCTATCAAAAAAGAACCCCAAGTGATCCAGCTAGCCAGGAATTTGAAACCGTCAAGTACACTTGCTGTGTCTCTGTGTGTTTTTACTCTTGTACTGGCCAAGTTCTGATACGCTTTTAAGGCATTCGTGTGTAATTTAACTCCGTCTCGGGCATAATCAATTCGCCGTAATCCATTTGCATTTAATACGTCGCGCCAACTTCCAAAAAAAAATATGAAAAAAAAAAACACGAAAACAACTTCAATGGGAAGCCAGAAAACAAATATGACAGGTGCTGGTGTGAGCCGGAAAATTACAGGTGAGTGCGCAGTCATTAGGGGACATTTATTATAATCAAGTGACAAGTGGAAAAGGGTTGGGTTTGTGGTATTACAAGGGAAAGAACAAAATGAATATCAAGTATCCGCAGAGTGTACCAAAATTAGAAGTAACACCAAGGCATTTGGTATCAAAGGAAGATAAAGATATTTCTTAGAAACAGGATTCTTATGTTGTATTTTCGTACATTCCTTAAATTCGTTGAAACTGTGTTCAAGATCAGAGGAATGAAAAAGACGCCAAGATATCCAAAGAAAAGAGTGCTTAAAAAGAAATTCCGGGAGAGCTATAAACGTGGCCAATCCCCCGCTGTAATCCTTCCATTTGGCAGCTTCCATTTCTTTGCGTACTTTCTCAATGCAATAAACGAGTCATCAATCTAACCGAACCGATTCATCAGCACATTTGCTACGCTTTTCCCGAAGCAACCAGCCAGCCAACCGCTTTCCATTCCCGTTGGCCATGCAAATTCCTGCGCCAAAATGGGTTGCTTGTTGGTCAATAACACTGCCAATCACTTTCTGCCTAATCATGCGTCTCAGCCGCTCTTCTGCCCTTTTCTGTTTTGGGCCTTGTTTACGGCTCACGATAAATGATGTTAAATAGTCCGTGGCCGGAATGAATTTGCAGTTTGTGCGCGGCTGTCGCAAAAACTAATTTCGCATCGATTCCGCTTTTCACGTGAGCGGTTATCTTATCGCCGGAACTCGGCGTTCTTCCTATCAGCTGTTTGGAAGTGACAATTTCATTTGGCGGGCATCCCCTGCCAGAGTGATAAGCAAATTAGCTCTAATTGAGCTAAGCTGGCCGAAAAGCTCTGGAGCAGATAACATGGGATTGGGGGCGTTAACTTTGGACTTCTAAAGGCTTTAGCCGCTCCAGCCTCGGGCGGTTCTCACATTTGTTATGGCCAAAAAGCTGCGAGACGGCCACGAAAAAATCATAATAAAGAAAAGTGGCCGCAAAGAGTTCTTAAAGAAAGCCAGTGGACGCGAGGGGGGACAGGTGGAACTAGCCCAAAAGAAAAGAATTTCTACTTATAACGAGTTTTTATTACAAACGCGCGAAAGCGGCGAGGCAGCCGAAAATGTATTAAAAAAAAAAAGACAAAAATGGCCAAATAGGAAGAAAAAAAAAAAAAAAAAGTAGCAGAAAAGGTAGTAAAAATGGGCAAAGCGAGCGAGGCTAACTGAATTCCTTCTGGGTGGCTAAAAGGGGGGTGGGCGGTGGAAGAGTTGCACATAAAAAGTAACAGCATTTTTGCCTACACTTAAGAAAATATACCTTTTAATGTTATTTGATTTTTAGGGAATAGTGGTTTAAAAATTGAGTATTTAAAGTTAAAATTTTATAATTTATTTAATTTTTGATAAAGATGAAATGAGAATAATAAGAAAAGGTTGCCTTAAAAATTATGTGTACAAACTTAAAAATGTAACGATATATTTAAATTCAGAGCCAAACAAATGCAAGTAAGATATATTTTAAGAAAGAATTTATTGTAGGCCCTATTGTCATTTTTTAAGTGTAGACGCTGACAGAGAGGGCGCTAAAGGTTGGCTAGGAAGAGAGAGCGGGCGAAAGAGAGGGGGGCGGGCAGACAGATGAAGACCAAGACTGCGAAAGCATGAAGCAACATTATTCAAAAGAAAGCCAAGTTAAGGCATGCACACAGACACACACTAGCTCACAAAATAAAGAGACAGATACATGGCAGCATAATGCAGCAGCGAGAGACTGTGGGAGAGAGGAGGAGGAGGGAGTTGGGTGGCAGATCGGCCAGGCATTAAACATCATTCAGTTGCAGCGCCGCTGACTGCGCCGTCGACGTCGGCAGCGACGCCGGCAACAATCACATGCCGACATTCTTTCATTCGTACAACGACCTCGACTTTGATTTGCAGTTTTGGCCAACAAAAAGAGAGCCGCTTCGGGCCAACAAAGAGAAAGAGAGCCGCAACGGCCTCTAGACGACCTACACGCCTGAGCAATGGCCGCCAAAAGAGAGTGCGAGAAAGAACGGGAGCTTCGTGTTCGTTCGGCGCTCTTCGGCTCTCCGAGCAATCGGCCATAGCTTTTTAGGTACTGTTAACGGACTTTCGGAGCCGAGGCAACCACCTTATACTTATTCTACCATGGCCATAGCTTTGCTCGCTCGCTGGCTGTGAAACTCCATTCATTCGTGCTGCGCGTCTCGTCTGTGCCGGGTGCTTTCCGGCTCTCTCCTGCCTCCCTCTCTCGCCCCAGCCGCCCACCGTCCCCCCCCCCACACGCTCACAACTAAACGCCAAGGCAGTGCAAATGTTAAACAAAGACAAAGACAGTTACACACAGACACACAGTGCTCCGGCGAAATAAGTGCAAAAAATCACACAAAATATTCCAAAAACCGAATAAAACACAAAACACAAAACAAAAGTGAACAATCAGCCAAAAAACTCTAAAGCCCCAGCCAATGCGTCATTCCCGGCAACAAGAGCTATCGCCGCAGACACACGAGTACTCGCACTCAGATATTCGCACTCGCACAGTTGCAATTACAAAGTGCGAACGACAGGCCCAGACATCTACACCCATACAGCCAGACAAAAGCAATATAGAACCGAGATTTGCTCAAGAGATCGGAACTAAAGCGCCTGAAAAGTCAGCAGGGCAGTGCGGTTCTTGAAACAAGTTTATGGAATTAGGAATTACTTCACAAGAAAGTACATAAAACCCGGCTGTTAGTTGAGTAGTTCCTTTACCATCAAAGATAGTTAGTTCCTAAACAGAGTTTGAAACTGTTGGCAGAGTACCTGAATGTTTTACGACCTGGTCTTATACGTTTGATGGTATCTCAACAAGTTCCACAGTTTGAATAACTTTAAATCGTTTTGTCTTAGGTTCTTTCTAGCTTTGAATGTTGCCTAAGTAGTTAAGTAAAGTTTTTAAAAAGTGCATACATGACATAATAATAATGATTTAGTTAGATTGTGAACTTCCTTAGATGCTAAACAATTGTTCAGTTTTTATAACTCAGGTAAAATGATAAGAAATTTAAATTTTTTAACTAAATAGACACAATAAAGCCTTGAGCTTCTGCAATTAGTATGGGACTTTCGCGCAGTGTAGATTGTCAGACAGAAGGCAGACTGAAGATGCAGTGGGAGGGGCTTTGAACGGTTATCAGCCAGCGTCTCAAACCCAAACTCGAACCCAAACCGAAACCGGGGCCCAGGCTCAAACTGAAACTCAGAAACAGACTCAAAATCAGACAGCGGCTGAAACTGAGACGCCGCTGCCGGCGTTGTCTGGAATTCGTATTGCCCATATGCGAGCGCACACGCCCATTTGCACACATGGCCAACCGGATGTTGCAGCCATCTTTGTCATCTTTTTCAATCTCAGCCTTGGCTAAGGTCGCTCCTGCCAAACCGATGTCCCCCCATCAGCGCGAAAGAGACGGCAACGGAGAGAGCCGAGTGGTTGCCGTGAAGTCGTGAATTTATAACAAAACGCTAGACTCGGCGACTCTGCTGACTCTGACCGACTGGTTTGGCGTGTTGGCCCGGCTAAAATGGATTTTTTATGGCTACGACAAGCAAACAGAAACAGCAACAACTGAATCAAAAGCATAAAAATGCCGCAGCCCCAAAAGCCCGCAAACCCGCAACACAAATTCTGAATGGGCACCATCTGAATTTTCGAAAATTGAACAAGCGTGATGAAGAGAGAGGGAGAAGGAGTGTGTGAGAGAAAGAGAGAGGGAGAGGGGGGAGATAGCCGACGATAAGGAAGAGCGGGTAAGCCAATACAAATAGATATATAAACATAACCAATTGGATCCGATTGGGTTTCTGCAAATAAAAATCCGAAATTCGAGAGCCCAGCGGCACCAAATTAATATTGAATAACGACCCTAATTGTAACTAATTTTGAGCCTTGTTTTGCATATAATGCGATTACCATAAATCCGTTTAGAAAATACGAAAATCTATATTGTTGTTCTTTTAATGGTTATGCTTTGTTATTTACTATGAATTCCCTTAATTAATATGGCTAAACCACTGTGAATAATCAGGTATTTTGTTTTTGAATTTATCGTTGCCTATTTTGTACTTGTTTGTAAAAGTGATTATAACAAGTGTGGCTCCATCAAAATCCCTTCAATTTCTGAGTAAAACTGACAATTTAAGCTTTAATGGAAATGGTAATAAAGCTTTGCCCAGCACGTAGAATGCTTTTCTATTGAGTAATGTAATTGTTTGAGAACGCAAAACCAAAAGACATTTCAATCCAATAAAATCACACCATTAACACAATTAAAGATGTGAAGATTAAAACGAGGACTTGCCAGCCAATTTACCATAAGCCTAAGTTATTATTATTCTTGCCACCTATTTTCGATTGCATGTTTAAGTCAGCGCTTGTGGGCGTACATTTGCCACGCCCCTGCGTCGAGCGTGCTAATGAAACATTTAATTAAGGCATTAAACATCAGAAGCGTCAACAGGGGAGCAAAATGAAACCGTATGGCATTACTGTTTGGGGAGCATAACCGTGTATCAGTGTGTGTGGGTGTGCGTGTGTGGGTATGTGTGAGCACCTCAACGGTAAAGTTAAGCTAAGCCCGAGCGATCGGCGAAATAACGAGGAGCTGGAGAAAAGACCTGCCTCATTCCTCATTCCACCCTCGCTAATGCCGTCGACAATTGCCGTAAAAGTTTATCGCCCGCATTAAAAAACCATGGATTAAAATTCTACTTCAAATAAAAGTCGAGCATACGAGAACCAAGTAGAAAAAAAAAAAAAAAACAAAAATTCCCATCTCCATTTCACCGTTTTTTTGTTTTTTGTATTTTTTTTTGCCGCTGCCTCCACTTATTTTTCTCGTTCTTTCTTATTCGAATTCTTCTCTTATATATTTTTTTTTGTGCCCACATTTTCCTTCTTTTTGGCAGTTTTTCGTTTTTTGCAATAAAGATAAGAGCTCTAGTTTTGCTACCTGCATTGCCTATTGCCCGTTTTCCAAATGCCTCGCCTCGCCATGCCTCCTCGTCTCGCCAGTCTTTTTGGGCGAAAAGTGTTTGGCTAACAAATGTTGTCCACTAATTGCAGGCGAAAAACATTTTCTCGGCTAACGAATTAAGCGATGTAAATTTTTGCGCTTCCCCGAAAATGGTGCAAATGCCACGGGCCCGGTTTAGATTACAAGTTGGGTGGCGTGGGCGTGACACGATGGGCAAAAAGTCAGACAGACATGCAGACAATTTCATATAAAATGCATGAGCATGAAACCAATTCAATAGCCAAAAAATACTAACACATATACAGCCTGAGAGGAGGAAAATGTTTTGGGTGGTTGGGGGAGGGAAAATGGGGGAGGGCGGTGGTGCTTCATGTTAACTGCCTGTCGAGCAAACTGCCATCGCACTGAACTCATAGTTGTCCTAGTTGTAGTAGTTGTACTTTGCCCAAAAAGTAAAAGACGAACGGGAAAATAGGGTGGAAGGGGGTGGGAGTGGTGTGCTCGAAAGGAGTTGGAGAAAGCAGAGAAAGGGGACTGAGAGAGCAAATTACACGGAGCCACCGAACGAACGGAACAGAAAGCGATGCTAACTTATAGATACAAGATACCGACGATGAAACGAATTTGAAACAGACGAAAATTTGCACAAAAAAAATTAAAAGAAAAATGCCAGAGTGGGGAGTGCGGAGTGAGGGGGAAAATGTTGGGTGGTCCACCCACAGAATCAAATGGAAGCGACAAAGTTTTCAAATTAATTTATTGATACTGCGATAAAGGAGGCACAGGGGCAGCCAGCCAGAGATAGGGAGTGAAAGAGCAAAGTGTGGGAGATAAACGTTTTATGGCCTGGCCATCAGCAATGATGATGAGCAGGATGGGGAAAAGGGAAAGGCCGAGGGGGAGGGGGAGGGGGAGGGTCAGCAGCCGGACCCGGTTTAATCAAATGTATTGAAAATGTTTCGATTCGGGCAAACTTTTTAGAGTCGCCTGAAAGGGCCAAAGAACATCAAATGATTTTTGATCGCTGAAAGGGAAGATGACAAACAAGAAAAAGGAAAGGACGATGGTAGAATAGGGTGTTAGGAAAATTAAGTTGGGGGAGGACATTGCTCATCTACAGTGTTGACAATTGGGTTTAAAGGTAGATTAAATGCCTTTAAGGAGTAGAAAAATATATATCATATAGGATAGGTAAATAATTGCAATCATATATTTTCTAGATTTTTACCTTTGTAACATAATATAAACGCTTTAAGATGAAAATAAAGGCTTAGTAACTCAAGTTGATTGCCGAATAAAATTCAGCTTAGTCATTTATCAAAAAAAGTACGTTTTCGGCATCCTTAAGATCACATTACGCATACGCCGCATTGTCGCTTGCGCAAAAAGGAAATGTTCTCCCCATTAAATACAGAGTATGGAACACCTTAGCGAACCAAAAAAGCGTGAAATAAGAGCACAGTAGAGAAGTGGAGAAGAAATCAGCATACGACGCACCTTCAGTCGAAATCAGAGGACAGAAATATGTACATAAAGATGAGCCGCACACGGTTATTTATAAGGCCTAACAACAGCGAACGGCGGAATATGCACATATAAAGCATCTTCAACGACAGTCCCCTCTCGCTATATAGATCCCCCCGCCCCCTCCCCGTCTGAACGATACTTGTTCAATAACCGATAACATTTCGCTTCTGCTGACTTTGACTTTGTACATCTCATCTCGTCTCGCTGAGTTTTTGTTGGTACTGTGCTTTATATTCGGTTCGTAGTTTTGCTGATACCGAAGCTTTAAACGCAAAAAATGCAAATTTTATTTCGCTATTTTACCCCGCATTTCCCTTCAGCTCCCCTCCCCCCTCTCCTCTTTCCCTTTCAACGCCTATCTCATCCCGGCTTTAGTTGTGCATTTGGAATTGTTTTGTTTTTCATTCAGGGCTGTGTGTATTTTTCTTTCTATTTGTTTTAAAACGCCGCTTACCCGATTTATTTATTGTGCCATTCATGTTTCTATATCTTTATGTGTGTTTGTGTCGCCCCTTTGTCTCTCTCCAGCTCCTCCTGCAGTTTTGTGTTTTGTGTAATGGCTGCGATATTTATGGCCAGCAAGTCCTTCCTCTTTCCTCCTTCGTCCTTCGTCCTTCCAATCCCGACACTCACTGCCGGAGCAACTGCTGCAATTTATGGCCATGGCGAGGAATCGGCATCGGCATCGCCATCGCCATCGGAATCCGATTCGCATTTGGATTCCGTATTTCCCTGGGCTAATAAAATATTGAAATATATAACAATTTGCATGATTTTCGGTTCAAGTTCGGGGAGAGTTGAACAAATATCCAATTCCACTCCGATCTTGGGCAATTGTTTTCGTACTGCACTCTATATATATTGCCACAGCCATCGGAGTGCAATTTGTGTCGGGAGACTTTGATTGCAGTTTGTAGCCCAAAAAGCCCTAATTGACATCGGAGGTCGGGGATTTGGCAGAGAGGTCCTGAGTGGGGAATTACGAATCCATTGCCAGTCCGGGCACAACTCTAGTTCTTGTCAAGTTTATGGCTTTGTCGGCCAGCCGGCATCTCAATTGGCCAAAAGAGAACTACTTCTCCCCTAACTGGTATTCCCAGAGTCCCAAAACCGAAAATGAGCATTTGCCAAGCCAAAGATGATGCCCGGCCCATAAACAAAGAGTTTGAAATGTTTAGCCCGAATAATCGGCGGCTATTTCCATTCGAATTACGTCAACATACGCAGATGTTCCGTTTTTAGCGGCCGGCACATACCAGCCATATGTATGTTAGTAGAGATAGACCCACATGTTTGCCGTTTCGCAAAGCGGCCAATACATAAAACTTGCCATAAACAAACAAAGATTTTGCAACCAGCAATGCAGAGAGCGATTTGCAAGAGAATCTAGCCGAATTGTAAACAGAGATCGCGGCGGAACTGCAAATAACTACGAGAGATAAAATCACCGCGTCGACATTTTGGTAGAACCAGTAGCCGCCGGCAATATTAGCTTTAAAATCAATAAAATATTGTAGTGGGCAGTAGTGTGTCATAAGCAATAAAATAGCTTTAAATTAACAATGAATCAGAAGTCACAGTTGTTAGAAAATAACTTATAGCCATAAGCTTTTAGTGATTTCCACCTGCAACATAAAATCATTAAAGGCAACACAGCAAATACATTTAAACTTAACAGAGTTATAGCAACATTTAATAGTACAGTATCACCATTATGTTTATAGAGAGTAATTTAGAGTTAAACTTCCAATAATTTGCAATATAAAATTATGGTTCTTAATCAACATTATTCACACTCTGCAGCATCAACAATCTATAAACAACATTTGCAATAAGCCAGCATCAATCTAAAGCCAGCAGCATCACCATCAAAAATAGAAGCAACAACCTGCAATATCAGCATGAAATCAACAGTCTACAAATGCTAAGAGCAACCAGCAACAACCAGCAGCAGTGGCAACATCAAATCAGCAGAAGCAACAACCAGCAGGAGCAACAACCATCAGGCAATCACCAATCAACTCTGTCATAGGGGGCGTTGCTTTAATATGCAGCGGGTTGTCAAAAAGATTATGGCACATAACGACAACACCTGTCGCTACCAATGTTGTTGTTGCTGTTTTTTGTTGTTGTTGGTGTTGCTGGTGTTGCTTGTAGCGATAACACACGGAGATAATGACGCTCGGCAATCTGTTGCTCGACTGATGTTGCTGCCACTGCTGCTGCTGCTGCTGCTGCTTGTTCTTT